CCACCAGCAGCGGAGAAGGGTTCCTTTTCCCCCACAGCCTCTCCAACATTTGTTGTTGGGTGATGTGTTTATGATAGTCATTCTTTCTGGGGTGTGATGGTGTCTCAGTGTTGTTTTTATTTTCATTTCACAGATGGCTAGTGATGTGGAGCATTTTTTCATATATTTATTAGTTTCTAGAATTTCTTTCTCTGAGAAGTGTGTGTTCATCTTGGATGCCCATTTCTGGATTGGGTCTTTAAATTTTGGGGCCCTAATGTTTTTTAGTTCTTTATAAATTCTAGAGAGAAGACCTTTACCTGAGCACTTATTAGTTAAGATATTTTCCCAGCTTGTGGGTTGTCTTTTCACTCTGTTGGTAATTTCTTATGACGTGCAAAAACTTCTCAATAAGAGGAGATCACAGATGTTAATTCTTTCAAGTATTGCCTGTCTCGTTTGATTTTTGTTCATGAACTCTTTCCCTACCCCTATGTCTTCAAGAGCTCCTCCTACTTTCTCTTCCAGGAGATTTAGTGTTTCTGTTTTAACGTTTGGATCTTTAATCCATTTTGACTTTAGTTTAGTGCATGGTGCTAGACCTGGGTCAAGTTCTAGTTTTCAGCATGTGGAGGGAAAGTTTTTCCAACACCATTTGTTAAAGAGGCCTTCTTTCTTTCTGTAAACATGTTTGGCCCCTTTGTCAAAGATAAGGAGGCTGACTGGAGTATACATGTCTTACTATGTAAATGTAACTGTTTGCTCTGCTAACCATAATAATAGTAAAGAAACCCCAATAACAATGAATAAACCAAGTAATCAGATCTATGTTTTTCATACCAGTAAAAAGTAATAAGGGGTTCTTGAAGAAATAACTGATTTAGAGGAAGGGAAGGATATAACTAAGATGAACTTACAACCTTCAGGAAAAATAAAAGAGATGCTTAAAACAACAACAACAACAACAACAACACACACACACATTGATAGTACTATGACAAAAAGGCAAATCAACCAACTAAAAGATCTCCCACATTCTGGAAAAGAATAATGATATAATTATTATCATTATCTGTATTTAGTACAGGGTCTACAGGGTCTCATTACACAGATCAGACTCATAGTGATACTCCTGTTTCCAGCCTCCCAAGCACTGGGATTACAGGTGTGCACAACCACGCCCAGTCTCATTCTGGTTTTGGTGTGCCCAGGGAGGGAGGCCAGCATCTGCCTAAGCTTTAGTCTGCTGAGCTATCTACCTGGCCCAATAATATATTATTGAGCCATAAATATAATAAAGTACTGCAATATTCAACAATATGGATGGAACTGGAGGTCTTACATTGAGATAAACAGACACCAAAAGAAAACTAAAACATATTTTCACTGATTTGTGAAAAAAATAGATGAGCCATGTAGAAGAACAGATTAGAAGAATGATCCCTAGAGACTGAGAAGGGCAAGAGACAAGGAAAACAGAAGAAACCACCACAAGGGGCATGAATCACACTTAGCATGAAATTAAATCTTCTCTAGAAGAGGAGGGAAGTGATTGGTTGAAATACTCTATGATATACTTAAAAATGATCCAAAACAATAAGTAGCTGAGAAGAGTTTAAAATTCTAGCACATAAAAATGATTAATGGGTTAAGATACCGAAATGCTTACGACCTGGATATGTCTATCACACATTGCATACATTTGTGAAATTAATCTAATGTAGCCCATAATGATTTGCAAATGCAATGTGTGAGGAGGCTGAAAATAGGAGGATCACTACAAGTCCAAGCTGCATAGTGAGACTCTAAGACCCTTTACTATATATGAAAAAGAGTTCTAAGTTAACCACTAACTTTAACCAAGTGAAACATATTGTTCTTGAGAAGACTGTAGCATGAGCAAAGAAAGCTGAAAAAAGCTGTGGCATAGCTCAGAGAAAAGCAGGATGATTTGACTTACTTGGTTATATTTGAAATAGGCTAATATGACCATTATGTAAGTTATTGAAACAAGAGAATGACAGATTTTGAAGTTTAAATATAAGCTCAGAATCTCTATAGTCAGTATTTGTCCCCCTCTATGCTGATGGCAGTGAGGTAAAAGAATGATCCTTCTCCTGAGCTTCACCTTAGAACCCTACATAAACTATCCCAATATGATGTGATATAATGTGAGATTAGAGGAAGGATTTCATGTTCTTGCCCTATCTGAATAATAGCTGTAAATATTTCTTCAGAAAACACAAACTTTTTTTCTCTTGTATTTTGGGGAATGGTGTTCAGGGTCTCACTACTAGATTGGACTCATAGAGATCAGCCTGTTTATAGCCTCCCAAGAGCTGGGATTACAGGTGCATGCAACCATGCCCAATCTCAATTACTGTCTCAGTGCGTCCCAGGGGCGCGGCCGGCATAGCAGGCCTGGGGATCGGAAGTCCCGGCCCCTGCACCTGCTTGCAGGTGCTCTAATCTACTGAGCCATTTGGCTGGCCCTAGAAAACATGAACTTTAATGAATCAGCAAGTCCTCATCACTGCTGTGAATGCCTGTCATGGGAGATACACGGCAAGGCTTCCCTGAAGGAGCTATGGTCTTTAGTAATTTGAGGGGTTTGAGAATAATAACTGGGACTCAATGGTTCAGTTTCCCATTATCCAAAGTATGAAATGTGCCATTGGAGGTTTTCTGAGCCTTTTGCTCTCTTTCCTTCTTTTCTTTATGCTTTCTTTTCTTGATTTCACAAATTCCACAATTTTAAGATGGAAATGACCCCCAATGCTTTCTTAATGGTCTAATGCTTCTCTTGAGCATTCCTTGGCCTTGTTTGTGTCCTCTTCGACATGCCTGTGACTGCATAGCCACTTGTACAAAGCTGAATTGTAATTTTAGTAACATTTCTACTTTTTTGTTTTAAGTTTATTAAAATTTCTTGAAAAATCGCATTGTGTATTTTTATCCATCTATTTTATTGTGTGTTGTATTTCTTGGGAGAAATCTTATAGAACTTCCCCTTGCAATATCTCTTGCTTACAGTTATTTTCTGGAGCCCCTTGTAGCAGAAATATTAATTCAGAGAAGCTCTCCTTCCCTCCCCCTCCCTTCTCCTCCCCTTCCTTTCTCTTCCCTTTCCTTCTCTTCCCATCCCATTTCTCCTTCTCCTCTTTCTTTCTTTTTCTTTCTTTCTTTCTTTCTTTCTTTCTTTCTTTCTTTCTTTCTTTCTTTCTTTCTTTCTTTTTCTTTCTTTCTTTCTTCTTTCTTTCTCTCCTTTCTTTCTCCTTCCTTCCTTTCCTTCCTTCCTTCTTATTGTATTTTTTTGAGTCATTCACTGAATCCTTCATTCAATTGCTTCTCACAGTTCATCTTACTTCAACCTAAGTCCAGTCATTCTTGCTAGTGGCCTAGTATTATTATCTCAGTCTGCTCTGAGGTTATTTCAAACTTCTGCAAAAGGACAAGTAAAACTTTAGAGTGATTTCTAATCCCCCCACTAACAGAAGAGGGCCTCTGTACTTGAAAGCTTTCTGCATCACACTGATCCCAATATATTTATGACCCTTGTCTATGGGAAGAGACAATGGGGACTCTCTAACAGCTTGTGCAAGGCCCCCTGGGGACATTCAGTAATGAGGAAAATTATAGTGCTTTTTTTTTCACTGAGCTTACAAACTCTAACCTAGCTTGCTCTTGGGTGGCATCTGAGAGTCTAGGAGTGGTCTTTGCATGAATTACCCAAGATTTCCTGTTCCATATTCCTACTTACAAATAAAAGCATTGGCACTACATAAGCCTTTGCCTGCGAGGCAGGAAATTTGTGCAGTACCCAATGCATACTCTAGGAAAGAGAGAGGTATCCTTTTATCATATATATATTTACCAAACACATGCTTTAAGTATCACAGATTGCTCTGCATGTTTAAAATAGTACAGAAGAAAAAATAGACAAAATCTCTGCCATTGTGGAGTTTAGATGCAAATATGCAGGAGTATGTGTTTTGGAGTAAGACACAACAAGCAAAAACCAAATACATGGTGTCGCATTGCGTCTGTGATGGGGAGACACAGGACAAGTTTGCTTGCTTTTCCTTGTGGAGAAGTTCCTACTTGGAAGGAAATCTAAATGTATGTAAAATGGTATGGTTTCAAGAAGTTAATGTTATTGTAACTAATTTGTCTGTGAATGCAGCACATTTAATCCTTTTAGTGATTTAGCTGGATCCCTGGAGAAAATACTGAAGGAACTAGGTCTTCTGACTTTTAATCAGTTCCCTTGGGATTTTGGACTCCTAAAACCCCTTAGGTCATATTGGGTGGTTTTCTGTTGGCATCAGTGGATGATATGTACCCCTTCTTGGTCTAGAGAGGACACCATGGACAAAGTCACTAGCAGAAATCATGATCCGTAACTCGTAGCTTCTCAGAGGATGGAGGCCTGGGACCTGTGTTCTGATTCACTCTGTTCAAAATTCTTCCAAGACAAGAACAATTGCAATAAAGGCAAAATTCTTTTTTTTCAGTTCTGCACTCATATAGTTTACCAGAGAAACTTAAGTTTCTCTGAAAATCAAGGAGAAAAGTTATTGAGATCCTATCTTAAAGCTATGATACAGAAGGATGAATATTAAATTTTATCTCTTCTACTATTCTTGCAAATCTCATCTGTGGGGTTTAGTGAGCCCTTGAAATGCCTCATTGCCTGCCTGCTGAGAACACTGCTGAGCCTGATGTGGGATGGGGACTTTTCAGACAGAACTGGAGCAGAGATGCTGCAGGGTCAGGGAGGAGGGGGTCCTGGCTTCTTGAAATCCTTCTTTCCAGGATTCACCTTCTTTATCATTCTCAACATTCATTTTTATACATTTTTCTCTGTTTTTGAAAATGTTGAAAACAAAGGCTAGTGCAAAGGTAGGCTTGAGTTCATATTCCCAATCTGCATATCAGTTTCTGTATCCTGGGGATGGGTGAGTACACCTAATATCTCATTTTATTGTGAACAACCTACTATTTCTTTTGTTATTACAGAGATGTCCCAGGGAACAATGACCTCAGGCAATGGATCTTCAGTGACAGAATTTGTCCTATTGGGTTTAACAGAACAGCCAGAGCTCCAGCTCCCTCTGTTCTTCCTCTTCTCAGGAATCTATGTGGTCTCCACGCTGGGGAACCTGGGCTTGATTGTCCTGATTGGTCTGAATCCTCAGCTACACACTCCCATGTACTACTTTCTTTTCCACCTTTCTTTCATTGATCTCTGCTACTCCTCTGTCATAATTCCCAAAATGCTGATGGGTTTTTCAAAACAGAACATCATCTCTTATGGTGAATGCATGGCTCAACTATTTTTCTTCTGCTTCTTTGTTATTGGTGAGTGCTACATTTTGACAACTATGGCCTATGACAGATACGTGGCCATCTGCAAGCCTTTGCTTTACAAGGTCATCATGTCTCATCATATGTGCCTCATGATGGCAGTGGGTGTGTATGCAATGGGATACTTTGGTGCCATGATCCACACAGGGTGCATGCTGAGACTCACATTCTGTGACAGCAATGCCATCAATCATTACATGTGTGACATACCTCCCCTCCTGCAACTCTCTTGCACAAGTACTTCCATCAACGAAATGGTAGTTTTCATTGTGGTGGGTATCAATATTACAGTGCCCAGTCTCACCATCTTCACTTCTTATACCTTGATCTTGTCCAGCATCTCCTCTATCCATTCTGCAGGGGGCAAGTCCAAAGCGTTCAGTACCTGCAGCTCTCACATAATTGCTGTTTCTCTTTTTTATGGATCTTTAACATTCACATATCTTAAGCCTTCTTCTGATTCTATTGGTCAAGATAAAGTAGCCACAGTTTTTTATACCATTTTAGGACCAATGATGAACCCTTTCATCTACAGCTTGAAAAACAAAGATGTCCACATTGCACTGAGAAAGACCTTGAAGAAAAGGATACTCTCCTAAATAGGTGTGGTGTTATTGATCACAAAGTTTAGTTCAAGAATGTGATTTGTTAAATTTTGGAATGGACTAATGTTGTAACTCAGTGGAAGAAGATTGGTTTAACATCCACAAGGCTTGGAATTTTTCACCTGCACTGTGAAATATCAACAAAAGCAGCAGCAGCAGCAACAATAAAGAAATCCATAGACCTACACAGAACACTTGCGGTTGTTAAAAGAAAATGACTTGATAATATACAAAATTAACTTAGTTATAGATCTCATTTCTGAAGTAGAGGGCAGATATGGAAGAGGGTTAGATCATTATTTTTTTCCAGAGGAGAAATAGAATAGTTCATGTTATCTTTTCCAGTTTATAATCAGTAAATATTTCTTTTTTGTCTTTGTGGTGTTGAAGATTGAACCTGATTCTTCTCCTAGTAAGTTGTATATTAGTCCTAGAAATTATAAATTTTAAGTAGAAATTTGAATGGTAGATAAATTCAGAAGTGGTGAGTTTGTGAGATTTTCTTCCATTATCTATCTATCTATCTATCTATCTATCTATCTATCTATCTATCTATCATCTATCTATCTATCTATCTATCTATCTATCTATCTATCTTCTATCTATCTATCTAATCATCTATCTGTCAATCACCTAAATTTTCACTGCTGGTGATTCTGCCCAAGTTTTCATTCATTCTAACAAATTTATATAATACTTAACTATGTGTCCTCAGCCAAGCCATGCAATTTTTGACTAGAATAATGGGAGAATTTTCTAGAAGCTGTCATAGACATAGATTTTGGTCGCCTCAGAGATAATTTGTTTATTCATTCAATAATCCCCTCTGGATGATTTTGGGGATTTCTCTTTGTGTTCCTCTGGAAGATAGTCTTCTCACTCAGACCTCTTGTCCTTACTCTGCAGTCGCAAGAAAGTGCAGTAAGATAGACTGATTTTTTGTGATCTCATTTTTTAAGGATAGGAAAAGAAACAACCATTTAGAGAGACCAGGATAAAGGGATCCTCCACTGAGGTAATTTCTCGGACTTGAGGACAGGAATGTGAGCAGGAGAAGCAGCTGTGTCTACACTGGGAAGATGTTTCCTTGAGATATATATTGATGACTGATTGAAGGTTCCTTCTGCAAATATATTTTACAATCTTAATTCTTTAGCAACTCTTTTTATTTGAAATGCTCATTCTCATTTGCCTCCCAGATTTACTTGGTATAAATAATGTAGTTTATGTAATCAGAAAATTAAATAATTTAGTCATAGTATTCAGGGTCTATTTAAGTGTCAAAAACATAAGGCTAAGACAGAAGATGTCTGTACTCTCAGGATTTATTATCCAAAGTTCTGTGGAAATGGAGTGCAGGTGGGTATGAGGAAGATAGAGACAGTAAATGAATAAAGAATAAACATGTACACCAGAAAAATTGCCTAGAAAGTCATAAATTAAGCTGATGATAGTGCGGATAAGTGTGTGTTTATTTTAGATTTAGTGGTCACAAAGGACTTTCCTCAAGAGATAGCCTGGAAGCTGAAGTCTCACTGCCTAGAGAGAGACAGTTAGGTGTGGGCATTCTACAAAGAGGGAAGAGCTGGGGCCATGTTCCAAAGGAAGAACAATCTTGATAATTATGAGGTATGGAAGACAGGTCATTGAGTCTCCAGTGTAGAGGAAGATTGATAAGTGTCAGGATATGTATGTAGTATGCAGTCCCTATATCAGGAAATGAGACTGATGTTAAAGTTTCATAAGGAACAGAGTGGATTTTTTAAAGCACAATAAAAATCTGTATGATACTCATCATATAAATGTCTTAGCCTTCTTTTTCCTTTCCTTGTTTTGAAGCCCTATTTATGTCCATTTATAATTGATCCAGAAGAAATATTGGATGTTTCATAAACAATTTGTAGTGAAGTGTGTGAGATAATGTACTTTAAATAACAATAGATTGCCACATCCTATCAGGAGAGATGATGTTTCTTCTCAAATATTGCTTATCTGGAAGAAGAAGAGAAGGCTACAGGTGAAACAGGAGCAAGAATTGGGTAGAAGCATCCTGGAAGTTTTCTTCATTCCCTCAATAAATATGATATGGAGAGACCACTAGACTTGGAATTTTATGATATAATTTGGTGCCAGGTTCTGAATAATTTTGCCTTCTGTTCTCTCAGCCTTGTAGAAAACATGACTAATATCTCGAAGTTCTGTGGTACAGAGGAAATGAGATGACATACGCTTGAAAAATGTTATATGTTTTAAAGGTCATATCAAGGGATACTAATAGAAATTTGTATGTTTATTTTATATATGAATTTATACTTGTGTATGTCTTTTTATTTTAATATAATATGAGTAAATAGTAATAGAGAAAATGTAAAATATATTCTTATGTCTATAAAAATGAAAGAAAACAAAAAAGAGAATAATAGTAGTTAATATGCTATGTATCACCATCTTAAAACAATGGCCAATATGTTACTTAGGGTACAAGTGCATATTTATTTAATATACATGATATAATTTTTATAGTTTTTGTAGGTGTAAATGCAATTAAAATTATAATTTCATTTATTTTTATTTTTATTTTTTAAATTTTTAAAAATTTTTTTGGGGCTGGAGAGATGGCTCAGTGGTCTAACGCACCTACTTGGAACAAGCTTGGCTAAAACACAGGGACTCCAGTTTGATCCCCCAGCACCACATGCCAGCCAGCCCTGCCCCCTGGTGGGATGAGCTGGACACACGGACACACACACACACACACACACACATACACACACACACAATAAATAAATGTAAAAAAAAATTTTTTTTTTTGGTGGAATCGGGGATTGAACTCAGGCCCTTGTGCTTGCCAGGCAAGCACTTATTTTACTGAGCTATCTCCACAGCTCCTGAAAGTATAATTTTGGATGAATGTAAATATGTACTTTTGATAAGTATAAGTTTCAATTGAAAGTATAATATAGTATAGAAGTATAATATTACCCCATATAGAAGAATATAGGGACTAACTCAGTGACTATACAGTTTGGAATAAGTATATACATTTTGAAGGTATAGGAAACTCACCCATACTAGAGAAGATTCAACTATTGAGTTACATTCCTCAAGAAAAAATATTTTATTAGCAGAATAGGCACAATTTTATTCAGCCATTTATGTATGTAATCTTTCATTCATTGGAAGAGAAAAATATAACAAAAACTAAGATACGTGCAAATAGCTGAAGTTCAGCCATGGCTTTGGTCTGAGACATACACAAGAAATGACAGTCAGATTAAAAGCCATATACCTGGCAGAATGATTAATGGGGTCAGAGCTTCAAGGCCTCTGTGTGATGGCAGAACATGACAAAAAGTGTCCTGGTGGCTTTTTTCTCCAGGTGGTTGTTCCTAAGCAAGTGGCCTGGGGGTCACCTTCTCAAATGAAAGCTTTACAGTTCTGCATGATTGAGCCTGTTTGGAATGGGATCTTGCTGATTTCTGGGTTGCCTGAAAACCATCTTTCCTACTGTGTTCTTGTTTTTTTTAAAAGGAATATAAAACTATTTATTGACCTCTGCTCACCAATTTTTATAATGAAGTAAACAATATACCTTAGGATAATATTTTGACTACTACAAAGTTGTTTTCCTGGCTTCTGCTGGAAACAGTAATCTGAATACTGAAAAGATTGAGCCTACATGTAAGGAACAAGTTGGAGTCAAGAAAAAAATATGCAGGTCAATAGTTCAGATTACAAGTTTGTCCACTCAATTATGACCCTAAATTGTGAACACCTCTAGCCACTCAGTAGGTTTCAGTGAGACAAGTCTTAGGACATATATGAATCCTAACTTTTGAGTGTAGATTTTAACTTGCTATGAAGTAATGAGTCTTTTTTGTGTCTGTGATTTCAACAACTAAGCTCCCTTAGCCTCAACTTTACAGCTACTTCCTTTCTGGCCAGCAGCAAAATTTTTGAAGTTATTACTTCTTTCGGTTTTCAGTTTTCACTGTAGAACTGGTTAGAAGTAGCCAGCAGCATCCATGAAGCAGCCTAAATGTTGGGCTGCTTTGAAATTTTGTTCACTCAATTAATTAGTCCACCATGCTTAATCTCAGCATTCCACTGAAGAAGGCAGAATGAAGACTTTTATAGCAAAGATTGGCACATATGGCATCTAGTTCAGATATCAATAGAGTTCTTATTCTCAAATGAAAATTCGTGAACTTGCCCTTTACTGTCCATGTTCTCATAACATTCTTACTTTCTCAGCATAGTGAAAATCTCCATTTAATTTACAATTATTCCTCCTATAGGTCTTGAAGTCTTCTCTAGCCGGCATCTTTAAGCCATTTCAACTTCTTCCTGAAAACTAATTCCAAAGAGTTCTGGACCATATTGTCAGGTAGAGTAATACTGATGATCCCACATCTTATCCCAGTTGCTGCTACAAAATATCAAACACTTGTAACTCAAAGGAGGAGAGATTTACTTGGCTTATATTTTCTAGTGGGTTGAGATCAAACTTGACTGGCTTCAAGGCAGGGATATATGATAAAAGGAGGAAAACTGTGCATTCTGTGGCAACAAACAAGCAGAGAGACAAGAGAGGAGCTGGGGATGGAAATAAACTCTTCTCACTCCCACGTACATCTCTTCTGACCAGCCCCTGCCTCCTAAGAGCAAGTTGTCTGTAGACTCCATAACCAAATCACTTTCTAGAGCCTCACCTATGAGTGCATGACGCTCTTGGTGCACATCTAGATATATGCATCATCAAGTAATGGCTTTCTAGGGTTTAGAATAAAAGAACTCATGTTATTAGGAAAGCTCATTCTTAGATGGACATGCCTCATGTAGGAGTAAAAAGGAATCTATATGAATGAGGCTAGGGATGAATTATAGATAAAAGCATAGGTCTTCACAAGGTCTTCACAAGGCCTCAGTCACACAAGAACAATGAATTTATTAATCATACTCAATCTATCAACCATTGTAATTTTAGTTTTTCA